ATCTCTTTCGGGCTATTTTTACCTGTCAATGCTTACTTTTATAAGCATTGTCCTACACAAATATTTAACATTATGTCCTTTTACGATTGTTGCGAGTTGCAGGCTTTTGCCTTGTGTGGTTGTGTTTACTAAAACAAAGATCCACAGCAACCCTTTCGCATTGACAGAGGGATATGAAAATAATTACAATATTTTATCCCTTTGTTGCATACTTCAAAAGCGTTCAAGCAAATCATAAAATTTTGCATCTTTTAACTATCGGTATTGAGTTGAGACCCAGGATTTTTCTTCTTAGCTTTCAGAACTGTAGTTTATTAATTACAGAATGTCCACTACAGTGGAGAGCATGCACTGGGGGCATAAGATTCCTTTCGTCCCATTTCCATAACTTTGGCTTTTTTTATTTTTTAACTCGATGTCTTTTTTTTTTGTGGTGGAGCCTGGGGTCCCGTTTCGCGATCCTCTTCATCACTGTCATCACTTTGGCTGGCATCTTCCCAGCAATCATCACACCTGCCTTGATCATCTTCTATGGCACAATCGATGTAATCGTCCTCGCTCTTTAAAAGATCATCACTTCCTGACGGCAGTCCGTCTTCAAGTAGGACACTGATTTCTGAGTCAGATAGTGGAATATCTTATAAAGCATCGATGTCTGCTTCTCTCAAGGGTGATTTGGTAGCATATCATTTGTCTCTAAAACAAAAAAATATAAAAATATAGTGTTTTTTTCTTAAAATGTGTAGAACTATGGCACATTATTCATTACAACAGAAAATTGGACCATTCCAGTATATTTACAGCGCTGCTGACCAAATACAATTTGTGCATAGCTCATGGCCCCGTAATGCTGCTGTTCATGGTGTCCACCAGAGTGGACAAGTCACAAATAGATCACTACTGAACAATGAAGACTCTTTGGATACTCATATTTATAAAGATTACACCTCAAGACTTACTCTAAGGCATGAAAACGCTTAACAAAGGAGTACTATGTTTTTGCAACAGTTTACGACGCTTTTGCGAGCATGCTCGTGCTTTACCTGGGAATTGTGGAAGCTGCCATCTTGGATGCTGAACATGCCAACACCAGTGAAATTGTGGCGCCATCTATGAGTGGCAATCGAAAACACATATGTCCACTGAAGTGGACACCATGCGTACGGACGGTTATGTCGCCTGGCAATTTATTTAAGAAATAAATAACTTTGTCCACTGTAGTGTCCAAGATGCAACAAAGGGTTATATGGAAACTTTTGGTGAGCAGATTTTCTTAGAATATTGTGCCACCAAGGGGAGAGGCACAACGGAGCATGCGCGTCGGATTTTCTGCAAAAGTGACGGTAGCTTCCCTCAATGCTTGGATAAAAAATGTTGTACCATTGTGATTCACACGATTACCAGCGACCTCTGCGCTCCTCCTGCCCCGTTGTTCGGCAGCGCGATGAGTTGCAGAGTGAATTTTACTGCAGTATAAAATGCGGGACATTTTGAAGATTTGGGAATTTCTTGCGGGACGCAGGACATGAGCTCTCAATGCGGGACAGTCCCGCGAGTCGCGGGACGGGTGGTCACCCTAGTGCGGAGGGGAGGGTTTCCCCTTTGTACCTCCCTCTCCCCCTCCTCAGCGGGGAAATTTAGCGGGAAAATTTTCCCGCCAAATTTAGCAGAAAAAGTTTTCCGGGTTGAGTGGCGTCACGTGTGACGTCACGTGACGCCGTACGTCCCGTGTTTCCTATAATGAAGTCACGTGACGTCACGTCTGTCGTCACGAGGGTAACGTCGTGACAGATTGACAGATAAGCCAATACCGCAATTTTTCAATTTTTTAATTTCTTTTAGATTTTTTTAAAAACTTCTTTCTTTTTCTCTAATTTTGTTCATAATTGTCTTTTATTTTCTTTCTCTAGTCTCAATTCCCCAGTCCTGTTTTTCTTTATAGATTTTCACTAAAAGATATATATATATATATATCAGGGATGGGCAGTATTTGGAATACGTATTTCAATTATTTTGTGTATTTTGTTTTTGTATTTAATTACAAATTGGGTAATGTATTTACGTGTTTATTTAAATACTAAAACATGGGTATTTCACATACAACTGTAATTAAATACAATTTTGTGGGCGAAAATACATCCCTCAAATTTATTGTCACGACTCATTTTGCTTATCCTAAGATGTATCCAGAGCAGGAAGAAAACTACGTTCTGCACCGAATGCAATGTCTCTCAATCAAGCACAAGCGTTTAGTGACTTTGTGATTTCGATGCTAGTCCAGGGCAAGAATAGTGACGAAATCGACGTTCACAGGCAGACTGGCTAAATAAGTGCCTGTGACAACTTGTGATGCTTTCCAGCCTGATTTCCATCTATATTTTTGCCTCGAACATTCTAAATGCGCGGGTCATCCAGATTTTCGTAACTGGTGCGAATTGCAACAATAAAAAAATTTCTAGCTAGTGATGCGCGTCTTGGTCGTCTCGGATCTTTGTTGGTCTATACCAAAATGTAATCGACAAAAAAAGCTGCTTGAAGCTCTGTACTTTTTTCACCTATTACGTCCAAGCTGATTACATTTTTTTGTGATTATATTTCTATTACGTTGCTAGAGCCTCGCACACTAACTCCCGAGTGTGCGATGCAAAAATAAAATGAGATACCCAAAAACCCGTTGCAGGTGCCCTGAAGTCGCTGACGCAAATTTTGAGGAATGTATTTGGAAAAGTATTTGGAGGAGACCAAATACATTTGGTTGTATTTGTATCTTGTACTTGAATACTTTTTTGGAAGTGTAATTAGATTTGTAATTAAATACAGTTTTGACGAAGTATTTTGTATTTGTATTTCGATACATATTTGCATGTATTTTGCCCATCCCTGATATATATATTTGCCTCGAACATTCTAAATGCGCGGGTCATCCAGATTTTCGTAACTGGTGCGAATTGCAACAATAAAAAAATTTCTAGCTAGTGATGGTGATATATATATATATATATATATATATATGTAGTCCTTTTTTAGTTTCTTTATCTAACAGAAACTAAGCGCACATGAGGCTCCCTGACAGAAACCTTCCTCTTCCTTTTCTATCACAAAAAAAAAAAAACAAAAAAACTCCAAATTCGTTCTCCTCTTTCACATTAACAAAAAAAAAAAAAAAAAAAAAAAGCCGGTTGATAGTAGCGTTTGTCCTGTCCTGTTCTTCTACTTGTCCGTGTCTTTTGCGCTCTTGTCTTCTATAATGCATTACCAACTCGCCCAGCAGTTAATTCGGATGCGTAATGTCCTATTGCAAGTGAATACGAACTCGAAAGAAGCTAACACTAGAAAAGTAATGTTCTATTAAAAGAAAACTTTTTTTACTATATTGCGGGCTTTACACAATACAACGTTGTTAATTAAACTGTACTTTAAACTTACCATAATTCTTCCGCATTGTTTTAATTGATCGGATGAATCGATCAATCAATCTGTCACGTTTAAAAAAATACATCGAATTATTAGGCACTATTGTATAGCTTTAATAATATAACAATTTAATAGGATTTAAATCAAATAAATCTGATTAATTGAATAATAAAAATATCACGATTGTTTTTCCCTTTGGTTCGGTAATTATCATCTTTAATCCAAATCAACGTGCACTAGCTTCGGCTACTGTCTTTGCGTATATACGACTGCAGGGTGATTGTGCTCTGACCAATAGTTGGTGACATTTTAAGAGTCCCATGGGAAGCTTCTCGCACCCCTTTCCACCGTCTCCCTCGACACTTCAGTGCGGCATAAAGGTAATAACGATTAGCCGCCACTATATACACGTTTGCAAGTCCGGCTTCAGGGAGCTGCCATCTTGCCTGTCTGGGGTGCGCTTGGACCAGTCATAATCCGATTACGAAGCCTTGCTAAGGCGTCGTAATCGGATTATGGCCTCTCCCGAGAGCGCACCCCACTGAGGAAGATGGCGGCGCCCTGAGACCGGACTTGCAAACGTGTATAGAGGCGAAGTACTCCGTAGACTTGTCTTCACTCATCGCAAATGCCGGCGGCGATGGTCTACCTGAGCGCCGCCGTCAATGCTGCAAATCCTCCGGACTCCTCCGCAGCACTTGATGCTCCAGAGCGCCCAGAGGAGGGAGATCTCATAAGGTTCGCAGGCAAACTCGGCTCGAGCCACAGCCACGAGGAACCTTAATCCGCGCCTGCGAGTGACGGCGCTTTGATGAGTTCACAGCGTACGGCCGTGCGGTGTACGTGAGAATCAACGGCAACTTGAGAACGATACCGTGACAGAATGAGAACGGCAGGCAGGTCTTTCAGTCGTCCCACTTCTAGCGCGAGCTTCCTAGCTTGGGTCGCTCCTCTGTACTCACAAAGCCTGGAAGTCCCACGACGCAGCCATAGAGTGCCCGGTCACAGATTTGGAGCGTGAGGGTCTGGTAGCACAGAGCATCAAAGAGCCATTTCTCGGGGAACCTGGACGTCAGCGCACACCGTCTGCAGCGGCGAGGGCCCGAAACACACTTGTTCGTTCGGGAGAAGTGTGTTTCGGCGTCTCGCCGCAGCGGGGCGCCAGTCACGTGGCTCTCCTCATCGGATATGTCTGCCGCCCCACCTTTTCCATTTCGGCGATCGCTCTTCGTGTCGATCTGCCAGGCTTTGTCAGTATAAAGGAGACTATGCTTGGGTAATACTTCGGCGTTTCGTGAGCTTCGAGCGTGGGCGTGCAGTCAAAACACGGCGGAAGGCGACGAGTGCGTGCTGGAGCTTGGGGATCCGAAAGAGGCGCCCTGCCGCTTTCATCCAGTCAGTAATTACAAAAAAGGAGGGCCCTCTCCTGCGTAAAACTTGAGAACAACGTTGTACGTACGCGGGAAATAAACGGTGTTTACTTGACATAAATTTAGATTACGCCAATCAGTCGACAAGCGAGTAGAACTTTAGAGTAAACGGACGTATAGTTAATGGAGAACTAGAGATCATTGTATAGTATATCTCTATATATCGTACTTTGTCCAAGTTTTTTGTTCATAGAACACCTGCAGGGTGAGGCTGTCCCATTCTTGAGCATGTCTGCAGTTCCAAGGGTCGACGCACGGGATCTACAAAGAACGAGTCCGTTACCGATTGCGTCGCGTGGGGCAACAAAAAACATTTTTCATATTGTTATAGGTAACATGCGCGAGCATATAGTAGTCATGTATCCGGTTTGTGTCTTTCCTCGTTTGGATCAGTATGGCACTGATTTTTTTCAATCTTTCACCGAACTGCCCTCAGCCGGGTCTCTTTATCTTCTTGACTTGAGAGACTCACTTGGTTCTCTAATCGGGGGAGGGGGAAGGAAGAGAGAGGGGGGGGGGGGGGGTTGATTACATTTTTTTTTGCCTACACCACCGGTTTACGTTGCCCCTACTATCGTGCCCTCGCAATAAATTATGATAGAATTTTGCAGTCTCAAGTGCGAGAAGACAACACAAAAACTATCGGAAAATTCTTATTAACCATGAATAGTAAAGTGTTTCAGACAATCCACGTGGCGATACGAGATGCAAAGCGGAGACCTCTTGTAAGCGTTTGCGCACCTCTTTCATCATCGTTTCCATCTCGTGTACGACGAAGTTGATGTCAAACCAGGCGAGGGGACTTCGCCAGCCGAATGTCGGCCATGAACCGCTTAAAGAAAAAGCTCTTCCCTGAAGAGAAAGAAAAGAACGAAAATGCTTTTTGTACTAACGTATAAACGTTGTGAAATAAAATTACAATGTAGACAACAACTGGCACTTTAAAAACCACTCAGCGTAGTTTTTGTTTTCTTGTTTATGTGCCGCGTTTGCTCGTGCAGGAGGCAACAGCATCCACTTCCACGTAGATCTTGAGTGAAGAAGGGCAGCAGATGAGCAGACACAAGTAGCATTTGGACATGGGAACATCAAAGAAATACTTAACGAAATAACAGTGAGTGTGCAGGCCACCTGGTGATTATGAATCATAATATAACACCTGAGACTGTGGTGCTGGAAAATGAAGAAACATTCAAGTCGAAGAAAAGACAAGAGTAGGAGACGTTCTCCGACTATTTCTGTTGTATTGTAGTTTTCCCGCATCACACTCTCAAACGTTACTTTATATATATATATATATAAAGTTTACGCATTAAAAAAAAATATTTTTTTGTTTTTGTAAGCCAGATGTTTGGTTTTTTAAACGCTTACCTCGCTGAAGTGAATGCTTTTGAAATCGGAGAATACGCTGTACGTCTGGATACCCAGCTCGCGCGACAGTCTGAGGATATGGTTCTGCGTGGGACCCACGTACGAGCCCCCGAGGTCTACCCAACCCACAGCAGGGTCCTGCAACAAATAACAACAATAAGGACAACAACGGCAACGACAACGACAACAAGAACAACGACAACAACAACAAAAACAACGACAGCAATATCAACAACAACAAAAACGTCGAAAATGAGCCTGCTTTTGAAAATGGGCTAATTTTGCATTGCTCCCAATTGTCAGCAAATGATGACTCGTTAGTCAACGTTTGTTGAAAGCGCAGACCTAATAAGCCAGGCCCTCCCGGGTTTTTAAGTCGTCGGCGTCCATATCCTAAGAGGACGGAGAAAGGTCAGCCAAAAAGCTTGTCGGGGACGAACAAAAGCTTGCGTTTGGTATAAGTATAGAAATTACAGAGAAGATGCAAGCGAGCTGGTGAACTTTCAACATTGTAAAACCCGAGACGGAGGACAAAAGGAGAAGAAAAAAGGGGAGAACACAGACACAGGTCTCAAACTCAGCTGAACATTTATTCCCCCAGCCTCGCTTATGAGGACAACAAACCACCATTCCTCGGCGCATGACGTCACACTGTCAAACGCTCTCTCATCCACAGATCTCTGGACCAAACTAATGTCACATTCGTCTGGGGCGCGCACGGTACCGAGAAAATGCTGCCCCCGAGGCCACGCCACTGTGTAGGTGCACCACACGCCAGGCGAACGCGAAGCATCCCGCCGTGCGACGCGCTCGGTGCGGTCACTGCAAGGGCAAAACTTGAACGGGTGGACGGTAAAACATATATTCGCAAGAGTGGGCGGCGGCTCGTGCCATCTAGCGAGGAATGAAAGTAACAAATTGTCTTCCAAGTGCATTGTTCACGTATGTATTGTTGCAAAGAAAATTCGCCCGCCAACGTAAAAACAAAAACACACGGACTATGAAACAGCGTTTACAGATATGCGGTTTTATTGTCGGACTGGTGACAAGCAATAGGAACACGTCCGTTGTGAAAATCAACAGAGGCGAGGGTACGCAGGGGTTAAAAGAAAAACAAGAAGTTTAATTAGGCGATAAAAAGCCGCGCACGGCGACAACACGACAAAACCATCAGAACGAAATGCGAACACGCGTTACTCTAACAACACATTCACGAACCTTCGAGCAGCGGGGCCGCGACAAAAACAAGACAGCACTCAATCCCCCCCGACACAACGCAAAACAACTCACCGCTCGCGACACAAACTGCAGCCGGGAAACAAGTTCGCCGGTGCAAAGAAGACGAAAGTTCAGAAAAAGGAAAGTCCCCACTTCGGGACCCAAAGTCCAGAAAAAAGTTCAAACGAAGTCCGAAGACTCACCGACGTCTTCAATCCGACGAACGACGAAGGCTTCACGTGCCCGGCGTAGTGGACTGGTTGCTCGGCGGCCGACGCAACGGAGCACCGCACGCGCACAACACGCGCTTCCCGAAAAGGGAAAAACCGACGCCTGTCGTCACTGCTGGAATCGTAGCCCGAGCAGAGGGCTTGAGGGAAAGAGGATAGCAGCGCCGGCGACATCACGTTCTCTCGAGCTGCGGGCCGCCATGTTTCGCGAGACGAGGAAGACCGACGATGAGGCGAGAGAGAGAGAGGGGGTGCCGGAGGAAGGGGAGAGCGTTAACTCAAGGTCGCAGTGCGAGGACCTGCATGGTCTCCTTCCGACGGTGCAGCTGGTGCAGCGACGCACCGGTGCCGCGCGCCGCACGAAGTCCCGGGCGAACGTAGTGCAGCCGCACCGACACGACCGCGAACGTGACGCGTCCGTCGGTGCAGCGCGGTGCGGTACGGTGCGCCCCAGTGAATGTGACATAAGCCTATAATTTTAACTTCGAGGACGTCGCTGAAACGCGACAAAGCGTGTGACCTCCAGCGGCGGTACTTTCTACCCCCCCCCCCCCCCCCCCCCGCGCTCCTAATCCCCTATCTCTTCCAAAAAAAAAAAAAAAAAAAAAAGGAAGTTTACAACAAAAACATTTTTGAGGAACCTTTTTTTTTCTAAAGGTGCCGTACCTTTAGGATGCTGTGAGTTCGTCCCCCAACCCTCTCTCTCGCTTCCAAGACAAGAACGTCGATCCCTTTTTCTGTCAACAGCTTGGCGGCGGAGAGTC